TTTATTTGTTTTTGAGAAAGAAAGAAAGAGAAAGAAAGAAAGAAAGAAAGAAAGAAAGAAAGAAAGAAAGAAAGAAAGAAAGACAGCATGAGAGGGAGAAGGGCAGAGAGAGAGGGAGACACAGAATCCGAAGCAGGCTCCGGGCCCTGAGCCGTCAGCACAGAGCCCATCGCGGGGCTCAAACCCACAAACCGCGAGATCATGACCTGAGCCGAAGTCGGACGCTCAACCGGGTGAGCCATTCAGGTGCCCCGTTCTGGGTTTTTTTCTAAATAAGCCATTGAAATTCAATGCGTATTTTAAAAACATCTCAATTCAAACCACATTTCAAGTGCTCAATGCCACATGGGGCTAGTGGCCACCCTATTGCATAGGACAGCACTAGAGTAGTGTGTCTCAAATGTTAGGAGGCCTCAGAATCACCTGGAAGGCTTATGAAAACACAGATGGCCGGGCCCCCCTGAAGAGTGTCAGCGGGTCAAAGGTGGGGCCTGAAATTCTGTATTTCTAGCCGATTCCCAGGCTGCTCCTGGTCCAGAAGGCACACTTTGAAAACCACTGTTCCAGGATGAGTTTGAAAGGACTCGTAGTCATCATTGTGCCTTATTTTCAAGTTATGGGTGATTTTTCCTGACACCCCTGAGGCTGGTGCGGGGTTAGGGGGTACACAGTGGTAGCAGTGGGGGTGTTTGCGTTGGCTCGGCCCTGGCTGGCTGGGAGCAGCCTCGCGGACTACCTACCATTGGCAGTGGGTGAGATTCACCAGCTCTACCATTGCTGGCATTGACTGTGTGCATCTCTGAGCTACAAGTTCAGGGGGAGGGGAAAGGAGACTGACCCTCAGCACCCCCAGGGAGGGCCCAGGCCTCGTGTGGCTGCTTCCTCCTCAACACCACTCTGCAGGTGATGCCAACCAGGCTTAAAAACAGAGAGGCTCTGGGGCAGGTCTGCATAGGTGGCGGTGCACGCAGGGCCCCGGGGGGGGGCTGCGGGAGGGGCAGTCCCTGAACCTAGAATGGCCAGAAAAGACTGGCCAGACAGGGAGTGGGGACTGGTATAGACCCAAAGGTCTGTGACTTATTTCCGGAAGTGAGTTATACTGGAAAGAGAAAGGATGGGAAGACGTGCTGAGCAAGGACTGTGGAAGGGCTGAGGGGGCTTCTTGAGGAGGCAGAGGGGACGGGACCCTGCAGGAAGTGGCAGTGAAGCCTTGGGAGGTCGGAAATAAAGGATGTCCCAGAGGCTGTCCCTGGAAGGTGCCTCAGCAGCCATCAGTTGCTATTCTCCTGCTTCTCCTGGTGGATGGAGGTGGATGTTAAAGATGCAGGAAATACCCCCAGGCCACAAAGCGAGTCAACGCCTCCGCCGGAGCCCACATCTCTGGGCCTATCTCAAGAACCCTTCCTCTGGGGGCCCCCGGGTGGCGCAGTCGGTGAAAGCGTCCAACTCTTTTTTTTTTTTTTCAATTTTTTTTTTTTTGGGGTGTTTTTATTTATTTCTGAGACACAGAGAGACAGAGCATGAGCAGGGGAGCGGCAGAAAAGCGTCCAACTCTTGAGCTCCGCTCAGGTCATGATCTCACAGTTCGTGAGTTCGAGCCCCGTGGAGGGCTCTGTGCTGATGGTTCAGAGCCTGCCTGGGAGTCTGTCTCCTCTCTGCCCCTCTCCGCCACTTGTTCTTTGTCCCTCTCTCAAAATAAACGAACTTAAATTAAAATGAAATGAAGAATATAAGAACCCTCCCTCTGGATTCTGTAGGCTTGAGAGTGGAGTTGGGTACAGCGGGCACATGTGCGGGTGTAAGGGAAGTGTGTGTCACTCCCAAGCCTGTACCATCAGCGATATCCAAGGGCTGGCACTCACCCCTTCAGGACAGGGACTGTTCCTGTCCTGGTGTTCGCCCGCCTCCTTCTAGCACCTCGTAAAGCACCTCCTCCTCCTAGCACCATGTGGATATGGAATTTAAAAGAAATGGTCTGCACCATGTCATGGAAATGCGGGGTGTGTATAAGGTGATTACTGTGAGCATAGGGGTGTCTGCACGATGGGGTGTCTTATAGGGATAGAGGGAACCATTACTATGGCAAATAATGTGAAATCAACGGAGTGTCTATACTCTGCAGATACGCTGTTCGGGAGCATTTGGGGTGGCCTAATGGGGTATAAAGGGCATCTACACTGGGCTGACTATTGTTTGGGGGCATATAAGCTGTGTGCATGCAAGGTATCCTGTAGGGGTGAATGGGGGGTGTCTACATGGCGGATGTGCACTGTTTGGGGTCATAGGAGGCATCTGCATCTCCGAATGCTCTGCAGGGGCGCACAGAAGGTCTACACTACATGAAACTATTTGGGGAGGTATTCACGGTGGATGGAAATGTGTGCTGA